ACCTTCTCTTTCCTGCAGTTTCCATATCTATAGATGGCAATGCAGGGTTGCATGCCTACTGTGTGCCAGGGCTCTGCTATGAGGCCCAGGGAACAGGAGGCGAACAAGACAGACCCAGTAACTACCTGCATGGTGGTTCTGCTTTAGTGGGGGGACAAACAGCTAACCACAAAGCTTGCTGAGTGCAGAGAGAGGGGAACCAACTGCAGGGCACTTAGAGAACACAGAGCAGTCGTTCTTCCTGTCTGAGGGAGTTGGGAAAGGCCTTCCTGATGAGACCTGAGGGCAATGGGAAGGAGCTGGCCAAGTGAAGGTGGGAGGGATAAAGGCAGGAGAGCTCTAGGCAGAGGGGAAGCATGTTTTGAGTGCCTGCAGGTAAGAAAGAATGGAACAGTGTCAGGAACAGAATAGTGGAAGCCTGGCACACAGGAAGGGAGAGGGGACATGAGGCCTGGGGGCGGGGGCAGTCATTACAGTCCTTAAAAAACACCTGGACTTTAGGGGGCAACGAGGACCATGCACGGTTTTTAGGCTGGGGAGTGACAATCAGATTTGCATTTTAAAGATCACAGCAGAAGGGAGTGGCTGGAGAGGGACAGGACTGGCTACAGGGAGTCTGTTAGAAGTTGTCTGGCAGAGAGTAATGGTGGGATGCCAAGACCCAAGTGAGATTACTGATGGGAAGGGCTTTTAACAAAAGAATAGAGAGAGAGGCTTTTCCTTGACTATATGGTCTTTCATATTCCCAGACCCTCATAACCGCAGGCCTCACCTCATCCGTCCCTTGCTTCCAGGAGGCCTGGCTTCTTGCCACCTCTGTGTTATGCCTCCCCTTAGCCCATTCCACCTGCCTGGTTTTTATGTCGTTTCCCACTGTGTACTTTACGTCTATCCTAAATTTTAGACAGAGAAACTCACCCTCCTCCTGCCCCATGTAACCGTCCAATTTCCCCATTAGACTCTAGGTTCCTTCAGAGCAGGAAGCTCCATCTTATCCACCACTGTGTCCCCAGCACCTAGCTGAGCTCTGGTATATAACAGATGTGCAGCAAATGGTTGGTTGTTGAGTGCACGTCCTCATGAGAAACGCAGAACAGTCTGGCCAGACTCATTAATGCAGTGTTTGCAAAGGTTTAGACTCACTGAGGCCAAGAGTAAAAAATACATTTTACATTGTGATGCAGTACAATGAAGGTATATATGTCACACAAAATTGAAATGCTTCACAAAACAATACCTTCCCTCGTTTTTTCAACATGTATTCCATTACATGCACTTTTTTTTGTGTGTGTGTGAGGAAGATCAGCCCTCAGCTAACATCCATCCTAATCCTCCTCTTTTTGCTGAGGAAGACCGGCTCTGAGCTAACATCTATTGCCAATCCTCCTCCTTTTTCTCCCCAAAGCCCCAGTAGATAGTTGTATGTCATAGTTGCACGTCCTTCTAGTTGCTGTATGTGGGACGTGGCCTCAGCATGGCCGGAGAAGCGGTGCGTCGGTGCGTGCCCGGTTCCGAACCTGGGGCCGCCAGTAGCTGAGTGCGAGCACTTAACCGCTAAACCACGCCTACATGCACTTTTAAATTAAAGGGTTTAAACCCACTAAGTTCATTTTTTTTTTGTGAGGAGGACTAGCCCTGAGCTAACATCTGATAACATCTGCTGCCAATCCTCCCTTTTTCCTTGAGGAAGATTGGTCCTGAGCTAACATACCTGGCACTAACATCCGTGGCCATCTTCCTCCACCCTATATGGGACGGCGCCACAGCACGGCTTAACAAGCAGTGCGTCAGTGCGCACCCAGGATCCGAACCTCGGAACCCCCGGCCTTGGAGCGCGCGCACTCAACCGCTTGCGCCACCAGGCGGGCCACCACTAAGTTCATTTTATGATCTATTGTGTTGACTTGCACGTTTGAAAAACACTGCACTAATGACCACACAAATACTTGAATATCATTTTGTGTCTTTCCTTGGGTTTCTCTCTGGTTTAAATAATATCAACACCCTCACTCTTTTCCGAAGGACTGTTTTTAAATCGTTTAATAATTTACCATGGCCACTTTCCAGCTTCTCTCATCTTATGCAAACTAAGCCTCTAGGCAGGGGTTGGTCACTGCCAAGAACCGGCGGATGAACTCCCAGCACCGGGACTTCCAGTTCCAGCTCGGCCCAACTCTTGCCCTCCATCCATCATACCGGCTTTCCAGAGACACACGTCCACACCTACCCGCCCCTGCGAATCTGCTGCCTGCCTGGCCCTCAGGTTATTCACTCCAGGAGGAGAAGGGAATCAGTCGTTTCTCAGAAAGCATTCACATTGGAGTCGCAGTTTCAGGGTCCTTGTTCGTTTCCCATCTGTCTCTCTCTCTTTGGACCAACGTGTGTAGAGCGAACACACAAGAACACACATGTAGCGTTACTAGATTGACTATCTCTGCTGAAAGTATCCAGATCTAGGAACCACTTTTGTTCAGCTCACTCTGAATGTTGGGAGCACCACCAACAATAAATGTCTCTGGACACGAATAATTTTTGTCCAAATCGCCAGACCAATTCCAAGGAGGTCGGGCGCCTTGAACGGCGAACAAAGGCTCCACACCTTTGCAGCATGGCGCCCCCTGGTGGGGAGTAGAAACTGGGCGTGGTCACCGACCCAGAGCGTCCCCTCTGTTCAGCCCACACGCAGATACGGACGCGCTGAGCCTCCGGATGGCACCTGGGTCGTCACTATAAATAATTGAGGCCAGTCCCCCAGGGAGTGACATTCCATCCCGAGGCGTGCGGGCCTACAACTCCCAGCAGGCCTCGCGCGAGCCCCGGACTACATCTCCCGACGGGTCCCACGCCCTGCCGACCGGTCAATGGCTCGCGCTCCCCCGTACATTCGTCCCTTTTTACCTGACGGCCGAGAATGTCTGGAAGCAGAAGGGTAGTAGCGGCCTGCCTGGGACAGGGCCGCCCCGAATCCCAACCCGAAATAAGTGCACCAACATGATGGGGCGAGAGAACAGGAACCGCCAGCAACGGCAGTTTCACCCTCATCCCACTGAGGGCTCCATGTTGGCTCCGGCCCCCATCCCGGCAACCCCCTCGCGCCTCGGCGATAATTGGCGGAAAGAGGCAATCTCGTTCCATGCTGCGATTGGAGAAAACCTTGTCAACCCTCCTCCTTCCGGAACTGTGATTGGAGAAAACCGCGTGCCCGCCCGCCCCCCAGCTCTGGGCGGGGCGGAGCAGGATGGGGCACTGCCTTCCGCCAGCAGTTCGGGTCCACTGTGGGGAGGTGTTTCGAGGGGATGCATAGTCCGTCCTCAACCCCGGGGTATCCATAGCAACGCGTCAGCCGCTGACCTCGGGATCACTCTCCTGTGGGTGCTCCTGGCGGACTCTAAATGTTCCGGGGTCTCTAGGGAGTGTAGAGCGCTGATTCTGCGGGACGAAGGGAGAAAAATTGGCTGAGGAGTTTTTTCAAAACACGTGCGCTTGCCTTGTCACCCACTCCGCTCTCGCAGGCGGGTCAGAGCTCCGGGGACGGCAGCCAGGTGTATTTGGGAAAAAACTCCCCTGGTGATTCTGATAAGCTCCCCCTACTCAACGATTGAGAACCACTGGTACGGAGGTCCTGTAGCTTGTCAAGGCGCGACCTCAGATCCGTCTCTCCCAGATACCTTCCTCTCCGCGGTCAGGCTGACTTGCTTAAGGCTCCCACCGCACAGCTCTTGCACCTCTGCTTAGCGCTTATTTATTTCTTCTGCGTAATTGTTTACATAGCTGCCTCCCCTACTGGGCTGTGAATTCTTTTTGGGTAGTGGCTCTGTCTCGTTCATCAGTCCCCGTTTCCCCTCCAAATGCCTGGCAGGGAAAAGTGCCCTTAATAATAAGTTGACTTCAATTGGGGGTGGTAGTAGGGAGGCTGTCAATCAATCTGGGGCGGAACTGGGTAGGAAAATGTGCCAGGATTAGTTTGAGGTCGGGCTGGGTGTATGGGGAGGGTGTATGGGAGAGGTGCTAATACGAGTATGGTGGAATATCCGGGTGAGTGAAGTTGGGGAGCGAACAGGTGAAACCCCACATAACCCATCTTGACAGATGTCTCAGAGAGATCATGGGAATTTCCTAGCCCTTCTGCAATGTGGGATTTCATTTTGGGCACTAGAATGCTACTTCTAGAAGGGGTGAATCTTGTTTTAGCTCTGCCTCCTGCTCAGGGATAAAACTATGCAAGTTGTGAGCTACTATGACAATTCCCCTCCCGGGAAGGAGGCACAGAAGGAGGAAAACAGCCCTGTCTAGACTCAAACTTTATGGACAATTCCATGATTGCCTCCACATTCCTCCAATGAAAATCTGGGAAGCACTCTGCACCTCTCTCCATTTCATAGAGACTGGCCCCTACGGCAGCCCTTGGACTTAAGCCCTGGGGCCCCTGACACCTGGGTGGCTGAGTCAGCTCCTCAGGAATGGGCTTCATTAGGAAACCTGGTGACTCAGGGCCTCAAGAATGGCGTTGGACAAGCCACCAAACCAGCTGCCTGGGCTTCCTCCTTCTATTCGTCATTGAGGTGGCAACAAGCAACTCAGCTCATCCCTGGTACCCAAATTCTCCTTCCAAATTCTGGACCCTCAGCCCTCTGCTAGGTCAGCCCTGATGCTTCTCAGGGGGCCTCAGAAACTGGATCCGGACTTGGGGGAGAAGGTTTCGGGGTTCAAGAAGATAAGTAAAGAATGGAACTTCCAAGGAACCTCACTTTTCTACCGTAAGCACTAAAAACCGCTTCTCACATCCAAGATAGCTGCCTCCCCTTTCTTCACTTCCTTCCTCTCCTCAGTTTCCCCCAACCTGGCTGCAAAGTCAGGCCATCTCCGCTCCTCCCTTCCTTAGTACCGTCAGGCAAACAAAACATGCAGTCTTTTCTTTCTTTTTATTTTTGGTTTTAAAGCATTTCTCTGTTGATCACTGCGTGTGTGTGTGTGTGTGTGTGTGTGTGTGTGTGTGTGTAGGGAGGGGAGACAAGATTTTAAGAAATCAGATTTAACATCTTAGCCCCATAATCCTATAATCATTTGATAGGATTTTCTTTTTGCTTTTGTTATTTTGGCTGCTCCTCTCTGGCCTCCCCTTTAAATCCGCTGGAGGTCTGAAGATGGGACAATAGATGTCTCCTCTGGTCTGCTTCTCTTTAGCTCCTGCCTCTCCAGCTGTCACCGCTCCCAGGCACGGAGGCGGGGCCCTGAGAGGTTTGGCCGAAGGTTGCCCTAGAAGGGGTGTGAGTGGTCTGGTCAGACAGGTGACTGTGAGCTGGGATGCCTGAGACCTGCCCCCACTGAGTCACTGTGCTGTTGTTGTCACCATCTTTGTTGAAGTCCCTGCTCAGCAACCCAGACCTCTGTGGAAACAGCAGCAGCTCCCATCCTTCCAAGCTTTCAGGAGAAGCCACCGGCCTGATGGTGAGGCGAATGGGCTGGCGGGGGAGCAAGGGGCAGTGGGGGCAGTGGGGAGACCTGGGGCCTGGATCAGTGCCCCTCCTCCCCACGCCACTGCCTCCTCTTCCTCCTCCTCTGTGTCGGGGGCCTCGTGGAGGGAGGGTCTCCATCTTCTCTCTGTCTCCTGCCCCTCACACAAGAAGCTCCCATTCCTCAGTTCCCCCTCTGGTGCTGGGGCCCCCCTGCCCAGCGGTGCAGGGCCCAGGGATCTTTCAGCATCGCCACAGTGCCCTCCCCACCCCAGCCACCCCCTCAACACAGGCATGGCCTGCGACGATACCCAGCTCTGCTCCCCCCTCCTGGGGTTCCCACTCCATGCTACCCTTGGCATCGGTGACGCCCCCTCCCACACACCGATGCCCCCAGGACCCTCCTGGGCTGCGGATAGGCCCTCTGATCCCTGAGCAGGATTATGAGCGGCTGGAGGACTGTGACCCTGATGGGTCCCAACATTCACCCCTCCATGAGGAGGAGCAGCAGCCCCTGCTTCACGTGCCTGAAGGGCTCCGAGGTGGGTGTGTAAGTGTGGGGCTGTGTGTGGAGGGAGTGGGTTGGGGAGGGCCTGGGGGCTCCAGGGCTTCCTCCAGGCTGGGCCTCTGGCAGCTGGTTGAGGGCATGGAGAACTGATCACTCAGGTGAGAGCAATTCCCAATGCTGCCCCCTCCCCTCTGTGCCCAGGATCCTGGCACCACATCCAGAACCTGGACAGCTTCTTCACCAAGATATCCTTTGTGCTCGGCCTGGCAGCGGTGGCATGGGAGGGCCCCTCGGGGCTGGGGCGGTTCTCGGCAGGGAGACTGAGGTTGCACTGGGTTGGGGCCTTGTTGGAGGAGTGAGGGAAGGCGTCCTCAGGAAAGGCCCCTCAGGCTTCAGGCTTATTTCTTGACGCGCTGCCACATCTACAGCTACCACCAGAGGAATGGCTTCACCTGTATCCTGCTGGAGGACGTCTTCCAGCTGGGGTGAGATGCTTGTCCCGGACCCCAGACTCTTCCTCATGCTTCCTCAGTAGTGCTTGCTGCTTCTAGTCCACTCAGTGCCTCCACAAACAGCCCAGGGGCTCGGCGGGGTGGGGAGGACACCGGGCTGGCCTGGATGCTGGGGCAGGACCCTGCCAGCCCTCGGGCCTGATCACTGCACCCCCTGCTACCCCCCAGACAATTCGTTTTCATTGTTACCTTCACCACATTCCTCCTTCACTGCGTGGATTACAATGTTCTCTTCGCCAACCAACCAAATAACCAGACAAGACCTGGGCTGCTCCACAGCAAAGTGACCTTGTCTGATGCCATCCTGCCCTCGTCCCAGTGTGCCCAGCGGTGAGTGACAGCCGGTGGAGGGATGGGGGTAGATGAGCAGACAAGAGCCCCCCACCCCCTTGTCCCTTGTTCTAGATCAGCAGTTCTCCAAAGTTTTGGTCTTAGGACACCTTTAATATGCTTGAAATTGATTGAGAACCCCTGAGAGCTTTTGTTGATGAGATCATCTCTCCATTCACCTTATTAGAGGGTGAAGCTGAGAATGCTTTAGAACAGGAGCGTGCCCAAGCACACGTTCTGTTGGCCGTCAGTGTGACGTCATGTAGCCTCTGGAAAACTCCACTGGACACTTGTGAGAGAATGAGAGTGAGAGCGGCAGAAAACCTTAGTATTATTTGAAAAAAGTTTTCAGACACTTGTAAGGGTCTTGGGGCCCCCAGGGCCCATGCTTTGAGAACCGCTGGTCTAGCTGGATCCCCCTCTCTATGACTTTACCATCACTCCCCAAGTCTGGCCTCCCTCTCTATTGGGCTCCCACTTTCTCTCTGCTCTGTCTTCCTCTCTTTTGTCTGTCCCACCCAACACAGGATCCGCTCCAGCCCCCTGCTGGTCTTCCTGTTGATCCTGGCTGTGGCCTTCTGGCTGTTCCAGCTGCTGCGCTCAGTCTGCAACCTCTTCAGCTACTGGGACATCCAGGTGTTTTACAGGGAGGCCCTGCATATCCCCCCGGTGAGCTGGGTGGGCGTGTCTGTGGAGGGTGCATGTCAGGGGGCAGAGGACAGAAGAGGAGTGAGGGCTGTACAGACAGAAGGACCCACTGGAAAGAGGGCAGAAGGCCTCACTGATACCCACCTTAGGCCCTGAATAATGTTAGGAGGTGGAGTTCCACTCTTATAAAACACGGTCCTTGGGGCTGGCCCCTTGGCCTAGTGGTTAAGTTTGGCGTGCTGTGACTTGGTGGCCCAGGTTCGGTTCCCAGGCTCAGACCTACACCACTTGTCAGCAGCCAGGCTGTGGTAGCGACTCACATACAAAATAGAGGAAGATTGGCACAGATGTTAGCTCAGGGCAAATCTTCCTCAGCAAATCAATCAATCAATCAATCATTCAATCAATCAATCATGGTCCTTACCTAGTGGGGCTTAGTTGATTGAGAGAGGTTGTAGAAGATGATTGACAGTCACAGGCTTGTGGTACAAACAATGGGTATTCAGAGGAAGGGCAGTCATCCGGCTTTACAGAGCAGGAGGAATTGGGGTTGGGCTGAGAAGGGCAGTGGGAGGCATTCCAAGCCCAGATGCAGCATAGGAAGTGAGGAAGCAGTGATGATCAGTGGGCAGCAGTGAGGAGAGGGGCCCAGCAGCCTGCAGCTGAGTGTTCAGGCCCTGGTGGGCAATCCCACCCCACTTTATGGCCTCGCCCTCCATTGCAGTAAGCTGCTGCGTGGGCCCCTTCACTGTCCCTGGTCACGCTTTACCCTTTCCTCCCTGTCTTGCTCACTCTCCTCGCTCTGTTCCTAAGTTCTGTCTTTAAGGCACAGCTCAAAGGCTACCTTCTGCAGACAGCTTCCCTTGCTCTCCTCAGAAGTCCAGAGCCCTCTGCACAGCTCTCCTGCACAGCAAAGGGGAGAGGGTCTAGAAAGGCCCCTTTGAGTAGGGAGCACAAGGCAGAGCACAGGGAGGAGCTGGACCACTCCTCCTCCAGGAGGCTGCTGGCCCTTCTCTTTCTCCTTCTCCCTTCTTTTCCCTCCTCCCCTATTCCTTCCAGGGGAAGGGGAGACTCCGGGATGGATTGGAGATGCTGGCCTGGAGGGACTTGACTAAGCTGGACTGGGGAAGCTGGGTGAAACTGGGCTCAAATGAGGTTTGCAGATGAGATCCAAATGAGCTCTGACCGCACCCCCTGGGATGCGGACATGGCCCGTGTCTTAGGAAGGTCAATCTGGTGATGGAGTGGGATGGGGCTGGGGGTCTCAAAGCATGCTGAGGCAGAAGGTGGTGAGGCTTCTGGGCCTGCCTTGGCTGGCACCCTTGGGCCAGGAAAGAGAGGTGCCCGTTAACCTGTGGCTGTTCAGTGTCTTCTCCATGTAGGGCTGCCGGGGGCTCAGGCAAATCTGCTCCCCCTGAGCTGAGATCAAATTCCTGAGAGTTTAATTTATGAGGTGTCGCTGGGAAGCATATGACTCACGGCCTCAGCAGTGGCAGGGACATGAGGAACACAATTCAGAAGAAGATGAAAGGAAATAGGAAGTGCCCCTTGTTAGTGACAAAGTTAGCGGAGGGCAAGAGAGGGCAGACAGCGAAAGGAGACAGTTTTCATGCCTGAGGGACACTGGGGGAGGAAGGGGGGAGGGGGCGCTGGGAGATGCAGCTTTGGTCGCGGTGAGTTTAGGCACCACCGTGCAGAGACATCCAGGTCGCTGGCGCTCACCCGCCCCCTCTCCACAGGAGGAGCTCAGCTCGGTGCCCTGGGCGGAGGTGCAGTCCCGCCTCCTGGCGCTGCAGAGGAGCGGGGGGCTGTGCGTGCAGCCGCGGCCGCTGACCGAGCTGGACGTCCACCACCGCATCCTGCGCTACACCAACTACCTGGTGGCGCTGGCCAATAAGGGCCTGCTGCCGGCCCGCGGCGCGCTGCCCTGGGGAGGCAGTGTGGCCTTCCTCAGCCGCGGCCTGGCGCTCAACGTCGACCTGCTCCTCTTCCGCGGGCCCTTCTCGCTCTTCCGCGGGGGCTGGGAGCTACCCGATGCCTACAAGCGCAGCGACCAGCGGGGCGCCCTGGCCGCGCACTGGCGGCGCACGGTGCTGCTGCTGGCCGCCGTGAACCTCGCCCTGAGCCCGCTGGTGCTGGCCTGGCAGGTGCTGCACGCCTTCTACAGCCACGTGGAGCTGCTGCGGCGCAAGCCGGGCGCGCTGGGGGCGCGCCGCTGGTCCCGCCTGGCTCGCCTGCAGCTGCGCCACTTCAATGAGCTGCCGCACGAGCTGCGCGCGCGCCTGGCCCGCGCCTACCGCCCCGCCGCCGCCTTCCTGCGCGCCGCCGCGCCTCCGGCGCCCCTGCTCGCGCTGCTGGCCCGCCAGCTCGTTTTCTTCGCTAGCGCGCTCTTCGCTGCGCTGCTGGTGCTCACCATCTACGACGAGGACGTGCTCGCCGTGGAGCACGTGCTCACCGCCATGACCGTGCTCGGGGTCACCGCCACCGTGGCCAGGTGCGTGCGACGGGAGAGGGACATTCCTCCGACCTGGGGCTGGGTCCCCTCGAATCGCTTCCCCTCCCACCGCCAGCGTCCCCTAGCCCTGCCTCCCATCCGCGCGCGCATCCTCCTAACCGCAAGACCCTTCTCCACCCGGATCCCGCCCTCTAGGTCTTTCATTCCGGATGAGCAGTGCCAGGGTCGTTCCCCACAGCTCCTGCTGCAGGCGGCTTTGGCTCACATGCATTACCTTCCGGAGGAGCCCGGCCCTGCCGGCAGGGTCAGCGCTTACCGGCAGATGGCGCGGCTGTTGCAGTACCGAGCGGTGAGGGCCCGAAGAGGACTGCGGAGTCACTCTGGGAGAGGGCATGACCCAAACTGGCTCGGGGCTGGCTATCCCGTGAGCCGAGAAGTGACTGGATTGGAGGTTTTCTGCCCTGGCAAGCGTCCCTGGGGGCCTCTTTGTCCTATCACGAGTGTGGCAACCTCTTCTCTCCCGCACCACTGCTGCCCCAGGTCTTGGTCCTGGAGGAGCTCCTGTCCCCTCTCCTCACCCCGATGTTTCTGCTCTTCTGGTTTCGCCCTCGTGCCCTGGAGATTATTGACTTTTTTCATCACTTCACTGTGGATGTGGCCGGAGTTGGTGACATCTGTTCCTTTGCCCTTATGGATGTGAAACGTCACGGCCACCCTCAGGTTAGAGCCCTTCCCTGGCTGTGTGTGGTTGTGGTTAAGTAGAGGTTTGCTTGCCTCACTCGAACCAGAGCTGGGTTCCACCCCCAGCTCCATCGCTTGTCACCTGTGACCTTGAGCTAGTCACTTCACTTCCCTGCGCCTTAGTGTCTTCATCTGTCAAATGAGGACAGTGACCGTGGCCAGTGAGCAGGGCTGTTGTGAGGATGACATGAGATGATGTGTGGAGAACCCTAACAGAGTTCCCGGCACATCTTAACGCCAGTAAATGGGAGTGAGGACCACCCGACAGGCTGAAAAACAGCTGGTCAGTGGATGGGGCTGGAGTAAGGGTGGGCTTCCCCACCAAGGCTGTCAGGCCAGCCCCAGGGTCCAGTGTGCAAAGGGCAAAACACTGAGTGCTCTCCGTGTCCCAGGGCTGGGTCTGAACTCTAGTCCTGCTCTGCTGCTGTATTTTTGGGTGATCTTGAGCAAGTCCTCGTGTGGCCTCCATTCTTTCTCCTGGAAAATGGGGCTGGTGTTTCCTGTTCCGCCTATGCCATAAGGCTCCCACTCAGCTATGAAGGACTGTCCTTGCTCTCAGTGGCTCTCAGCCGGACAGACAGAGGCCTCGCTGTCTCAGTGCGCGGAGGATGGAAAGACTGAGCTGTCCTTGATGAGGTTCTCCCTGGTGCATCCGCAATGGCGCCCCCCAGGGCACAGCTCCAAGTTCCTGGGGCACCTTCGGGGCCGGCTACAACAAGATGCAGCATCCTGGGGCACCACCTCGGTTCGCAGCTCCCCCACCCCCGGGGTGCTCAGTGACTCCTCCTCTTCACCTCTGGTGAGTCTTAGCCTGGCCTGCTCTTCTACTTCCCCCCACCCTCACCTTTTGTATTAATCTGCTCACTGGTCCAGCCTGCTCTCCTGCCTTCCCTAGACCTCCTCCCTCTCCTTCTGTCCTCTCTTCTGACCCCCTTTTCTCTTGCTACCAGCCAGAGGCCTTCCTGGCCAACCTCTTGGTGCACCCCCTCTTGTCCCCACGGGACCTGAGCCCCACAGCCCCCTGCCCAGCTGCAGCCACAGCCAGCCTCCTGGCCTCCATTTCCCACATTGCCCAGGACCCGAGGTGAGGGGTGGGGGTCTGAGATGCAGGGGAGCAGGGCTGGTGGGGCTGATCCTCCAGGAGGAGGGTGCAGGGGCACTGGGGATGACTAGGAAGGGGAGATCAAGCCTGGCACTCCCCGTGGGGTGCAGGGGGGAGGGGCATGCCTTTGATCTACTGAACTCTCTGTTCTAGCTGTGTGTCCTCAGGAGCCACTGGGGGCCAGAAGCTGGCCCAGCTCCCAGAGCTTGCTTCTGCTGAGATGAGTCTCCATGCCATCTACCTGCACCAGGTGAGTAGAGGGGTATGGAAAAGAGAAATGTGGGGAGAAAGTAGCTGAACCAAATGGATACTGAGGAGTGGGCTAAGGGAGTACCCAACAGGAGCTGGAGGAGGAGGTTTCAAAACTTGCACGTAGCCCAGGGGCTGGGCCTCGCACTGCGGGGCAGGAGGGAGCCCCTCATTCCTCTTCCTTCGATCTAGCTCCATCAGCAGCAGCAGCAGGAGCTGTGGGGTGAGGCTTCAGCCTCCTCCCTGTCCAGGCCCTGGTCCAGCCCCCCGCAGACACTCTCTCCTGATGAGGAGAAGCCATCCTGGTCAAGTGATGGTGAGGCATCAGAGTGTGCAGGGGACAGACCCTGGGTGGCCAGTGGGCGTCACGGCACTGCCCAGCTGATGGCTTCTCTCATCAGGCTCCAGTCCTGCCTCCAGCCCCAGACAGCAGTGGAGAACCCGGAGGACCCAGAATCTGTTCCCTGGAGGGTTTCAGGAAAACACAGACACCCAGAAGGAGCCTGGCCAGGCCCCTAGCACTGACTGAGAGGGCTCCTCTGGGTCAGTATTGTCTAATGGGGGCAGGGGTGAGGAACTGAATAGGAACTTGGGTGGAGCCAGACTTGGAGGGATGGGAACAGTGGTGGGAATTCAGCATGATGGGAATGGTCATCTCTGGAACCTAAACCCCTGGACTGCTTGCTACGAGCCTTCTCCTTCCCCAGGTTCCCTGGCTTCTCCAACCACAGGAGATCGGACGAGGTGGAGTGAATGACACACCGAGCCCTCTTTAGAGGCCCCCTGTGGACTATGGGCCCAAGGATGCTTTAGCTGGGCAGGACTTGGGGGTTAATGATGAACTCGCCCCAGAGTGCAGAGAAAGAGTAGAAGAGATGCCAAACGCATCTGGAAACAAGTCTTAATTCCCGCGTGGAGGGCCTAAGGGATACCTCCCATCTAGCTGTCCTGGAGCAGTTGCCTGGGAAGCAGTCTCCAAGTATCCTCAAGGCGGAGGGCAGGGCCAAGGTGGAGGCCAAACCAAATATAAGGAAAACAGTGAGGGACAGGATCTGAGAGGCAGTGGGTTCTTCAAGCTCGCCTGGCTTTCAGCTTCCCATGAGATTTATGGATGGGGGCGATGGGGACTTGTGAGGGGAAAGGCAGATGTTTTTGGAGTTCAGCGTAGGTGTGATGTCTGAGGAAGTTGGTGGACTCCTCATCCTGTCAGAAACACGCAGTAAAGGTTGCTCATGGCAGTGTCGCACATCTCTGTGACCTTAGTCTCGGGCATCCCCAATCCTGGCAGCTGAGGGCTGTACCTGCTTTTCAGTCAAGAGCAAGGGAGCACACAGGAGAACTGCCTGTGATTGGCTGGAAACCGTGTTTCCAGAGTGCCGGGTCAGAGTGGAGCGTGTACACTGGAACTCAGTGCAAAGAATTACCCCGCCCACCCCCCCATCTGCACAAGTTAAAAGACAAAGCTTGTCATTATATAATTTTAATTGACAGGGGCTGGGTTAGGCATCTTAGTAGCTCTCATAGCATCTGGTCCAGTCTCATGGTGAATCTTCAATAATAAATATTTGAATCATTTAGAGATTAGGTGTCAAGATAAGATAGTCCTGAGAGAGGTAAGGGGATTTAAAATTCACCTAAAGAACACGAAAGGGGTGACAGTGGGCCCTGGAATACCACTGCTGGGAGGGGCCTTCCAGATTTAGTCAGACCGGGGTAAGGGAAGGGGCCTAGAGAGAGAAAGGGACATTCGCTCATTCCCAGGAATAAGGCGAGTCTCGGCAGACTCTGGACAGACGAGGGGAGAGAAGGGGTGGTGGCTGGTCCTGGTCATGCCGACAGGGGAGCGGCAGAGCCAGAGTGGACTGACGACCCCTCTCCGGGACTGGGGTAGAAAGCAGGAGGGCTCTCAGGGGCAGGAGGTGTCTTGGCCGGGCAGGTCGAACGACCAGGGCACTGTACCCTGCAGATGCCGCTCCTGCAAGGAAAAGCTCTGGGTGCGTATGCGGCTTGTCACCTCCTGGGTGCGCAGCGTGAGCCCGAAAATGTCCTCATGATAGCGTTGCTGATCCTGCGGGAAAGAGGGTAGCGGATCAGAACCCTAGTCGGAGCTCGGCACCGGAGCGGGGCCCGCCCCCAGGGCTCCGCCCCTCTACGATAGGGCCCCGCCCCGCCCCGGGACCACCACCTCCGCACCCGCAGCACGCCGATGACGTCGCCGGCCTCGTCCAGCTCCATGTCGCCCTCCGTGGCCAGGATGCGTTGCACCGTCTGCAAGACGCTGGTTGCCATGGTGACATCGCCGCAGACAAACATGTGCCCCCTTTCGAGGCACAGCACGCGGTGCACCTCAGCAGCCAGCTCCGTCCGCAGGATGTCCTGCACGTAGGTCTGAGAGGAGGCGGGGTTAGGGACGTGTCCTGGGGGCGCGGGACGGGAGGAGAGGGAGAGGAGAGGAGGGGAGGGGAGAGGAGGGGAGGGGAGGGGAAGAGAGAGGAGGGTGGGCCCCGGCGGGGAGGGCGAGCCCTAGATGTGAAAATATTCCTGGTGGACCAGGTGGGGCCTAAGTGCGCAGGGATGGGGTCTAGAGAGGCGGAGCCAAGCAAGGGGCGGGGCTTGGTGAGGATGGGTGAGACCAAAAGGGGCTTTGGGCACGCGGGTGGGGCCGAGTGGGCCCGGGTGCCTGAGTGCCGCTGGGTGGGAACTGAGGGGCCGGGCCTGGGCCTGTGCGCCCCGCTGGAGCGCACGTCGGTCCTTCTCCCTTTCCCTAGCTTCAGGTTATCCCCGCCCTCAGAGGCCCGCACCTTAGGGCTGTCGGGCTCTCGGGAGAAGGCGGTGAGGACGCGGCCAAATACCCCGCGTTGCTGGGCATCCTGCACCTCGTCGCGGTAGAGGTGGTCGAGCTGGGAGCATCGGCAGCCAAACACCAAGGTCATGGGGGCAGGCTGCAGCCCTGCAAGCAGCAGTGCGGTTTGGGAGAGCCCCTTCCCGGGGACCGCAGCCGCAGCCACCCCTCCGACTCGCTACCCTCGCCCTGGGCTGACAGCCCTTTCGGGCAGAATTAAGCACTCTTGGCTTTTTGGTCTCTAGGAGAGTGCAGGATGCTTTCACAGAGAAAGCCTGACCCTGATTTACAGAGAAGAAGCCCAAGCTCACAGGAGATGGTGACTTCCCTCGGGTGGAATGACCAGAGGTGGCGCCGCACTGGGACATGGGGCCTCTGACTCAGGATGCCACGCCCTTTGCACTGTCTAACACTGCAGTTCTGGACTCTATCTAGCCTCTTCCCTGCTCCAACCCGGTATTCTCCCCCTCCTTCAGCTCCCACACATCTACCTTTCTCTCTGTCCAGCCCCCTTCTTTTGATTTACCAGCTGCCCTGCGCACCCCATGCCCAACCTGAACACCCTGTAGCTTCCTTGGGTCTTGGACACACCTAGTTGAGCTCTGGCACAGTCCAGAGTCCACCTGGGGCATTTCTGTCTTCTGTGTTCCAGCCCCATCCTCTCCAGACTTCCAATTCCCCTTGTCCGTTTGTCCTTAGTCCCATCCAACACCTACTTTGTGCCCGGCACCAGGAAGTCAGACCAGCAGGGCTCTGCCCTTGCCACTAGGCCCTCCCCCTTCCCTTGGTCTAATAAGCTTCTTTTCACCTTTGTGACCCTGGTTCCTTGCCCTCTTTCCTACCTGGTTCCTGCCTTCCAGGCCCTGCCCCTTTGTCCCTAGGTTGTGTGACTCCCTCCTGCCTTCTGGTCATTCCCTTGGCCCCCAGCCTCACCTTTGCTCTCAATGTCGTGTAGCCGCTCCTGCCAAAATCCCCGGAAGGGGGCGATCCCGGTGCCCGGGCCCACCAGGATGCAGGGTAAGCTGGGATCCAGAGGCAGCCGGAAGGAGGGTGCCCTGGCCGAGAGACACTCGTAAGGCTACCTTTGCTTCTCCAGCCCCTGTTCTTACCAACCTCGGTGGCTGGCATGGTGGAGAGGGGAGAACCCAGCTTCACTGAAAATGAGTTAATACTTGTCATGTGTTTATGACAGCACCTAGTTCATAGTAAGCACGATGTGTTTATTAAAAGAACTCTGCTTGCAGGCAGAAACTCCCTGGACCTGTCGTCTCTGGAGGATGGGTCAAAGGAAATACTGTTCTATTTGAAGAAGGTTTGACGTCTAAGTTGAGGAGATTTTGAAATATAGGGAAGGGAAGGACAGTCTTTTGGTTCATAATGGGTTCATGGAGTGTGTTAATTTTAAATCATCCTCAATATTGGTATTTGGTTTGTATTCATTAGATTGGTACAGCTTATTTGTTTTTTTTTTTTTCTGAGGAAGATCAGCCCCGAGCTAACATCTGATGCCAGTCCTCCTCTTTTTGCTGAGGAAGATTGGCCATGGGCTAACATCCATGCCCATCTTCCTCTGCTTTATATGGGATGCCGCCACAGCATGGCTTGACAAGCAGTGCGTGGGTGCGTGCCCAGGATCCGAACCTGTGAACCTGCGAACTCTCGGGCCACCAAAGCGGCGCGCACTTAACTGCTACGCCACTGGGCCAGGCCCAGTACAGCTTATTTGTAATTTAGCCTCCTGGATGGATTTGGGTCACTGGGCCTAGCTAGTGCCGTCCTGGGAACTCTTCTTAGGCCCACCCGAGGCTTTCGGCTCCTGGCTGCTGGATGGGACAAGACTTCTGAACACAGCATGAGGGAAGTGTGTTCTGAGATCCTTCACCTTCTTTGAGTCCTCAGTGACACTATGGTAATCTAACTAGTTCTCCCCGGACTACGTGGGGCCTTGTTCTTGAACAGGGCACAGTTCCCAGGTGCCAGGCCTCCCAACGTCACACTGACCCCAAGGATGTAGTGAGGAACACAGTACCCCTTCTAAAAGCAACAGGGTCTGCTGATCTAATCCCAGCCCTGTCTCTGGAAGCTGTAGTTTCAGGGCAGGACCCTAAGTCCAAATTAGTGAAAGGCCTGAAGCTTAGCCAAAGTTCTGAAGTGGTTTGACTGGACACCCTATCCTTGATGTATTAAGTAGGTCCTCCCCGCTCCCAATCCTGCCCCTCACCAAAGCTTCCACCCTAACTCTGTGTAACTGCCCACCGATTCCTCTGTCTGTCCCTGGCCATCCATGTGGCACTTTGTCCACCCCTGCTTGGAGAGACACTTCTTGATGCCCCTCCTGCCTCCATCCCCAACAGTGCTCACTTACCCCCTGATGAAGCAGGGCACAGGGTCTCCAGCCTTGAGTTGGCTCAGCCATGTGGAACAGACTCCGTAGTGCAGGGGGCCCAGCCCATCTAGGGATTGGGGAGAAGAAGGGGTCAGTGAGGGGCCCATCCCGGGCTCACTGTGTGGCCCTGTCCCTGTCCCCGCAGCCTCACCCTGGGTCCTGTATGCCAGCACGGCTACTGTGAGGTGGATTTCTCCGGGGTGGGCGCTGGGGGCCGAGCTGACGGAGTAGTACCGGGGCTGGAGCAGGGGCAGCTGGGTGAGGAGCAGGGGGGCCGGCAGTGCCACCGATGGAAACTGCTCCAGCACCTCCAGCAGCGTGGGGCAGCGGAACCACTTCCACTCCTCGTAGCGCCGGGGGTCCTGTGGGGGGCATGGTGCAATGGGACCTCCCAGCCCTGCCTGCTGACCTCCCTTTTTTTGTGTGTGAGGAAGATCGGCTCTGAGCTAACATCTGCCAGTCCTCCTCTTTTTGCTGAGGAAGACTGGCCCTGGGCTAACATCTCTGCCCATCTTCCTCCACTTTATATGGGACGCCGCCACAGCATGGCTTGACAAGCGGTGCATTGGTCTGCGCCTGGGATTTGAACCGGCGAACCTGGGGCCGCCGCAGCGGAGCGCGAGCACTTAACTGCTTGTGCCACCAGGCCGGCCCTGACCTCCCTTCTTGACCCCTCCCAAGCTGAGCCTCCTTGGGATTTCTCCCTCCTCAATTCAGGGCAACACTTCTCTGTGCCTGGCTCTTTAAGACCTTGAGAGTCAGAGATGAATGAGTGACTGGAGCTGGGTCTTAAAGCCCCAGTACACGTTTGCCAGGTGGGCTTCCCTTCCCCAGCTTGTTCTGCCCCACTAGCCCCTGCTTCCCACTGGAGTGGCCCCCAACCTGGCTGAGGGTCTCAAGCTCCTGCTGTTCGCTGGGCTCTTCGGCCAGGGTGCTGAGCAGTCGAAGGAGTTGAGGGCTGGGTGGGGAAGTGATGTCCAGGAAGAAGGTGAGAGCCTGGCGCAGCGTGCAC